CCTAGCTCGCGGCCCCAGGGAGCGAAGAGGAGCCTTGGGGACCGGGGGGCGGGGCTCTCCGGGCCTCCCTTGAGCTGCAGCGCTCTTGCACAGGCTCGGGGGACCCGGGAGCGGGGCCCTCCCGGCTTCCCCTGAGCCGCAGTGCTCCTGCGCGGGCTTGGGGAACCTGGGGGCGGGGCTGGGGGCGGGGCTTGCCCGCGCGGGCTGCCGGAGCGGCGCTCCGGAGGGCTCCGGGGCGATGAGAGCCCTGGCAATAAACCACTTGCATAGGTTTTAAGAAACAATGACTGGAATCTCTGCAAAAAAGGAATATTCTTCTTACAGCAAGAGGTCCAGTCAAGCACACAAAATCACAGGGGCTTATTCCAGTAGTTTCTTCCCCTTCACAATATCCGGTGGAGTGGACTGTGACTCATGAAAGCTGGCAATGAAATAAATGTTGTTAGTCTTTCAGGTATCACCAGACTTTTGTTCCAGTGCCGCCGGAAGTGTGGTTTGGTGTTGAGTACGCACCACCCCCATCAGCCTCCAGAATTCTTCCCCCACCCCCAAAACAAATACTCGGGAAACAAGGAAGTCAGTGACATTTTATGTCTATCCCCAGAGGTATACATTTTTACCTGCACAACAACCTTGTGAGGTAGATTAGAAAAGTGTCTCTCTCGTCTTTCAGCCTGTCAGCCCAGTGAATATCACAGAGAGATCTGAATTTGGCAAGCAACAGGGAAATCTGGCACATTGCTCTTTTCCTGTCTGCTGCCGTTACAGACTTTGCACCATAAATCATGATTACCTCCATATTAGGTGAGACAAGGGTTAATATTTAACTCAGTTGCCCAGGGTTGCCCTGGAATTAAGGTAACTAAATTTCCAGTTCAACGGCAGCAATCTGAAGCAAACACTGGAGAGTAAATCTGAAGGTCTCTGCTCTGGTGAAAATGCAAAGAATTTTGAAGACCTTATGAGGATTGCCCAATTTAAAAACCCTGTGATCAGGAAAGGGCGTCCAGCAGAGCTCCGTGGGTTTATTCAGGTCCGGGAAAGGGTGCCTCTGGGACCAAAGCACAACACAGAACCTGACTATTCAGCCAAGATGTAGAGCTTTTTTTTTTAAAGACAGTGAGAGGGACTGTTCTTCTTTACTTTCCTGACATCAAACAGGATATTTTGTCTTACTGGGTTTAGAAATATTGTCCTTAAATATAGATAAGCTTTCTGCCCGTACAGAAGTAGTTGGTTGCCAGATCTCCCCTGGCTCCCAGCAGGGGGCGAGGGGGTAGGTTTGCCAGCTCCAGGTTGGGAAATTCCTGGGAATTTGAGGATGGACCCTGGGGAGGACAGGGACCTCAGTGGGGTACAATGTCCTAGAGCCGTCCACAGGGCATTTACTCCAGGACAGCTGATCTCTGTAGTTTGGAGATGAGCTGTGATTCCGGAAGATCGCCAAGCCCCACCTGGAGGCTGGTATCCCTAAGGTGTGGTTTTGAAGTGGTGTGTCTAATGAATTCCATGTCAGTGAACTAACCGGAGTGGCATTAGAGTGTCTGCGTGTTTGATTTTTTGACCATAGAAGAACACATAACATCATTTTATAGGGTTTTCTCCCCTCTTGTTTTCACTGGGAAATTATACCTAATAAATTTGCGTCCTGCCTTCCCTCGGAGCTGCGGTGGCTCAGAGGTTAAGACGCCGAGCTGCAGGCTGGAAGGTCGGTAGTTCAGCAGTTTGAGACCCGAGTGTGCCGCGTGACGGAGTGAGCTCCCGTCTCTGGCCCCAGCTCCTGCCAACCTAGCAGTTCGAAAGCAAGAAACTGCAAGTAGATAAATAGGTACCGCTTCGGTGGGAAGGTAACAGCGTTCCGTGCGCTTCGGCGTTTAGTCATCCCGGCCACATGACCACGGAGACGTCTTCGGACAGCGCTGGCTCTTCGGCTTGGAAATGGAGAAGAGCACTGCCCCCTAGAGTCGGATTCAACTAGCTTTCGAGCAAGGGAAACCTGTATGTGATTCTTCCCTCCTGCATTTTATTCATGATCCTCTCACTCCCCTGTTGCCTCCTCCCCAGTCCTCAGCCAGTGCTCAACTGTCTCTTCTTCAACTGTCATTTCTTCACTGACCCTCTCCACAAAAGAACAGCCTGTCACTCAAAGGTTCTCCCAGGCTATATTAACCCTTGACAGTCTGTCACACTCCTGTTTCATATTATTCAGGTAACAACCTTAATCACAGGAGAAAATAGATATAGGGACTGCTCAGCAAGGAAGGAGGAAGAAACAAAGAGGAAATCCTGTGTGTGACAGTGGGAAGAGGGTGAAATCGCCGTAAAGACTTAAACAGTTTTAACATGGGGGGGGGGGATTCCCTGGGAAGCAAAGCCTTTACTATGAATTATTTTAATGGCTGGGTTAAATTGTGCGTTTGTACATTATCCCAATGCAGATGAGGTCCAGTATGGTGTCGTGGTTGGAATATCAGACTAGAATCCGGGACACCCACGTCTGAATCTTCACTCTGCCCTGAAGGTTGCTGGGTGGCCTTGGGCCGGTCACTCTCTCAGCCTAACCTACCTCACAGGATTGTTGTTGTGATGATAAAATGGAGGAGAAGGGGACAGTGCTTCGAGTCCCACTGTGGGGAAAAGTGGGATATAAATATCTACACTTTAAAAAATCAATAAATTAAGATCAACCAAGAAGTGGGACTTTCCTATTAAAGAAGAATAAGAGAAGAGATTGGATTTATACCCTGCCCTTCACTACCCAAGGGAGTCTCAGTGCGGCTTATAAACTCCTCTTCCTTCCCCTCCCCACAACAGACACCCTGTGAGGTAGGTGGGGCTGAGAGAGCTCTGACAGAAACTGCTCTTTTTCCAAGAACAGCTCTTATCAGAACTACGGCTTGCCCAAGGTCATCCTGCCAGGTGCAAGTGGAGGAGTGGGGAATCAAACCCCGTTCTCCCAGATTAGAGTCTGCGCACCAAACCACTACACCAAAATAACTCCATGCCTTATTAACTTTGTCTTTTGTGATTTCTCCCCTTTCTGTCATTTGACTCCACGAAGAAGAAGAAGAATGCGCCATCAAGTTGCAACCAACTCATGGCAATCTCAACCATGGGGCGTGTCCAAGGCAAAAGACAAGCAGAGGTGGTTTTTCCAGTTGCCTTCTTCTGCATAGCAGGCCAGGTCTTCCTTGGCCGTCTCCCATCGAAGTCCTATCCGTGGCCAACCCTGCTTAGCTCCCTGACAAGCTCAGACCAAATTGGACGATTCGGGCTTGATTCCAAACCAGCTTCTAAAAGAAACTTGGACAGAGTGATTATTCGCTGGTTGGTTGGCAAATTAGGACTAAGTCAAGAGAAGCAGAGACAGGGGGAGAAGCTTTGATACAGTTAGCAAAATTCCTTGGCAGCAGGGAGGGGGAAGAACTCCACACACCCCAGTTACATCAATCATAAGAGATACCAGATTCCCAGTGAAGAGCGTACTTCAACCCACCCATTTAAATATGCTTTGCTTTCATCACTGGGTGTAGTAAGAACAGAACGCGTTTTTGGAGTAAGCGATTGCATCCAGCCAACACCCTTCCACGGGGTGGGGGGAGGGAGACGTTTGTGCAAGATCAGCACAAGCTGCTTTTAAGAGGGAAAAGAAATTTGTTTTAGAGAATTCCCACAAGGTGGGTAAAAAGAGTCCTACCAAAGGTTTGTAGTTACAGTTGTTGTTGTTGTGTGTGTGTGTGTGTGTGTGTGTGTGTGAAGTAAGAAATGCACCTGGTGAAACTTTGCCTTTCTTGGAGAGTCAGTGATGGGAAAGCTTCGCCAGCTGGTTTTCCAGCTGGTAGACATATATTAAAGACCACAGGAATCTAGCTGTCAAAGAACTGCCTATTATAACCAACTGCAATCAGTGGCTGCAAAAACCAAAAGAGAATAAGAAGAGGAAGAAGAGATTGGATTTATACCCCGCCTTTCACTCGGAGTCTCAGAGCGGCTTACAAACTCCTTTCCCTTCCCCTCCCCACAACAGACACCCTGTGAGATAGGTGGGGCTGAGAAAGCTCTTTCTAGAACTTGAGAGAACAGCTCTGACAGAACTATGGCTTGCCCAAGGTCATCCAGCAGCTACAAGTGAAGGAGTGGGGAATCAAACCTGGTTCTCCCAGATTAGAGTCCGCGCACTTAACCACTACACCAAAGCGGTGTGTGTATGTGTGACAAAAACAGGCCAGTCAGCATACTAGTCCTCAGTAACTAATCACCATTGGCCTAGGTCCTTGGAGGCAATTCAAACTTAGCCTGGCTTACCCTAGTTGTACCCAGCTGTTGGGCATCATTGAGGCTCTCAGCATTAATATGTGGAGAGGAGGTCAAAAACCTACGTGTATCCTCATGCTGTACTCTCCTGGTGCATGCAGTTACCACCTCTGGAAGGGCCACTGAGATGTTAACAGCAGCGTGGCAGTCTGAAGGGCTAGCATGTAAAGCTATCAAAGATGCAGAAGGCAGGAAGGCTTTGCTAGAGGGATTTCTGCCCTTAACATAGTTGGTAGAGGTACAGGAAGGGGAAAAGCGACACCCAGTCTATATATGCCACACCACCATGGGGTTGCCATTTTCTCGTGGGTGGGGGCTCCGTGGGTACAGGTAGTGGTGGAAAGAGCTGTCAAGATGCAGCGGACTTATGGCGACCCAGTAGGGTTTTCAAGGCCAGAGACTTTCAGAATGGTTTTTCTTTCTTCGGCATAACAACCCTGGTCTTCCTTGTTGGTCTCGCATCCAAATACAAACCAGGGCTGACCAGGGGTCATTTCATAGAAAAAGAGCTAGGGGAACTCATTAGCATAACTCATTAGCATATGCCACACCCCCTGACATCAGGGGCCCGGCGGTGGACCTACAAGGCCAGCGGGAGTGCGAGGAAGCCCCGCCAAGGCCCTCCCTGGCCCCAGGCAGGCAGGGGTGGGGAGAGGCGGGGAGGAAGCAACTTACCCTCCCTCTTCTCCTGCCTCCTCCTGGCTGAATGAGGGCTGGAAGCGGGGCAGCCGGAAGCAGGGGGCGGGGCTTCGTCATGTGCCCCGCCCCCTGCACCTCACCTGGGGGAACTGTGTTCCCCCGCGTTCCCCCCGAAATGACCTCTGGGGCTGACCCTGCATAGCTTCTGATGAGATCGGGCTAGCCTGAGCCATCCAGGTCAGGGCTGGATGCAGGCAGAACGGGGAGAAATCAAGACTCCATTGTGGTATTTCCGATCTGAAAAGGTTTCCCGCGTTTCATTTCTGCATGTTTGTGCACCATTAAAAGCAATGATCCTGCCGAGACTCCTCTTGTTGTTCAGAGTAGCAGACTCCCAAACTTGTTGTATTTTAAACCTGACTCCATTCATTGGGATTTATAGTTCAAAAGTCGTTTTTATATATGGGAACGGATCTGATACTAAATTATTATGTTATTATGTTATAACTGTTGATGTATGTTGAAAACTTTGTTGGTGATTAACTGGCTGGTTTGTAATTTTGGATTCTCAGGACTCTTGTATACTGTTTTGTAGTTATTGTACATGTTATAAGTTATACTTGATCTTAATAAACATTTTAAAAACCAAAAAAAAGTAAAGATCCTCTGTCTGTAACGAGATGGCGACGCCGCACCTGCCCTCTGCCCTCTTACAAAAACAGGAATTCATCTGCTACGGAAGATCCGTCCAGTGATGCGATCTGCAGGCTTATGTGGTCTGTCTGAGGCCAAGGCTGTAACCATTACAGATCGCAGATGAGGAAATGAACGTTCGCCACTGTACTA